TGAAATAAATAAAAAAACTATAAAAACCCTAGAATTCTAAAAGTATAAAAATAAATAAATTCTAAAAGTATAACTATATTATGCATCCTTTGAAATTGAATAAAAATAAAAAATAAGATTATGCCCTCCATCATCGGGCTGTATGATACTTCTAGGCTAGACCCGAAAATCTAATCCAATTTCTCAAACCAGCCCAACAGGCGCCTATTCATCACAAACTTAGTCTGAACATGAGTAAACCTGTCAAAGTTGGCCCAAGGTTGTTCAGTAGATTACAGGTGTCCCCCAAGGACATGCACTCTTGCAGATGCCGGGGTCCTCTCTCAGCACGTGTGCACAGTTCTGATAGGCGGATCTTACCATATCAAAATGGCTTCACAAAATGCGACTGTCTGTGCACATGCTGCAAGCAAGCTACACATATCTGAGATTTTGGGCTTATGTCCTCTTACGGCCCAGCTCTGCTCACACAAGGCTTATATAACACACACACACGCATGCATGCACGCACACACACAGATATATGTGTATATATATATATCACAAACCAAGATCCACACACACACACAAATATATGTGTATATGTATATATGTCACAAACCAAGATCCATTGATCCCCAAGCCTTGGCTCACACGACATGAAGCAAAACTAATCCTACCGACCCTGACTAGAGGAAAAACTCCAAAGATGGGGTTATTTTGACCTATACAATTCCCAGTACGCAAAGAGTTCGATAGTCAATGGTCACTCCCGCTGTGACTCATTACATTGCTGGCATCGCATATAAGGCCTTGAAAGGCCACATATCCAACAGATAAGGGAGAGGGGAAGGAGTGACAGAGGAAGGAACATTAGAGGTAGGGGCAAGAGAGCAAGGAAGGGGGGGCTCTGTGGGGGTGGAGGAGATGGGCATGATGAGCCATGGCTGTGTACTAAAATCTTTCACACAAGATGCGCTATGCAAAGCAAGGTATGCATGGTCATTGTTGACAACAAAAGCGGCTGAACATGGTTTGTCAAGAAATGGTGAATAAATTGAAGTCAAATAAAGAGAAGCATCTGCAATCCTATAATGGTACAAACAAGGTAATTAAGTTCCTAATGGTTTTGCTTAATCTCTTTTTCTATTGGTAAATGGTATAACAAATCTGTATGGTGTGACGTATTACCAATGGACGCATGTCCCTTGTTGTTAGGATGTCCTTGGCAGTACGAAAGTCTTGTGATCCATAATTACATAAACATGTAATTGTTTACCAAGGATGGTGTGAACGAGAAATTACACCCCCTAAGATATGATGATAAAGAGAGGGTTAAGGTAGAAAAGAACGTAGTTTTGCCCCGACATTTTTTAGCTGAAAGTAGCGAAAAGAAGTTGGGTTTGCCTTAATAATGAAGGATAACGATGGTGTTGAGGTGGGCAATGAGGTAGTTAAGACGCTTTTAGATCAATTCAAGGATTTGATGCTTAAAGAATTACCAAGTGGAATATCTCCCATCAGAGATATCCACTATTGCATAGACTTAGTTTTGGGAGCTAGTTTATAAAATCTACCACACTACAGCATGAGTCCTCACAAACATGACGAGCAATATAGAAAGTTTCAAACCTATTAGATAAGGGGATGATTTGTGAGAGTCTAAGTCCTAGTGTTGTCCTAGAATAGTTGACTCCCAAGAAAGATGGCACTTGGAGACAAGGCGACGAACATGATCACTATCAAGTTTAGATTCCTCATACCCTGTTTAGATGATATCAAGATCTAAGGTGTTTTCGAAGATCAACTTATTAAGTGGGTCTCATAACATCAGAATTAGACCTGGAGATGAATGGACAACAACATTTAAGGCTCGAGAAGGGTTATATAAATTGTTGGTGATGTCGTTTGGCTTGTCTAACGCACCCAATACTTGTATCAAGTTATGAATTAGGTATTCAAACCATTCATAGGGAAGTTTATTGTGGTATATTTTGATGTATATTTTGATTTACAGCAGTATAGTTGAGGAACATTTGGTTCATTTGAGGCAAATTATGGAAACATTACAAGCTGAAAAGTTATGCATCAATTTTAAGAAGGGTTCTTTCTTGACAAATGGTCTTATTTTCTTGGGATATGTAGTATCTGCTAAGGCAAATAGAGTGGATCAGATTAAGGTTCAAGCAATCATTGGCTGGCTGACATCGACTTGTATTCATGGGCTAACTACGTTTGAACGGTGGTTTATTAAAAATTTCAACAGCTTGGTAGCTCCCATTATAGATTGTATGCGAAAAACCAACTTTGTTTAGACAACATGCAGCCAATGATAGCTTCCAATTGATTAAAGAAAAGATTACATGGGCACCTGGCTTAGCTCTATCAAATTTTGCCACAGTTTTTCAAGTGGATTGTGATGCATCCCATGTTTGGTTTGGTGCTATTTTGAGCCAAGAGAATACACCCGTTCCTTTCTTCAATGAGAAGAATGATTCTAAGTTGTGATATTCGGCATACGATTTAGAGTTCTATGCCCTGGAGGAACTATTTGATTCAGCAGGAGTTTCTATTTTATTCTGATCATGAGGCCTTGAGGTTCCTAAGTACTAAAAGAAGTTTGAATAAAAGGCATGCCAAATGAGTTTCATACTTGCAAGAATTCAATTTTTGATCATGCATAAGGCTGGAAGTCAAAATTGAGTAGCAGATCCATTGAGCAGGAGTCCATGGCTGAGTGTTCTATCAACATTAGTTCTGGGCATTGAAATAGTTTATCAACAATATGCTAGTGACCGATATTTTGCAGAAATTATTGAATAGGTAGAGCAAGGAGACTCAAAAACTACTAAACATTATGTTTTACAAGAAGGTTTTCTTTTTAGAAGGAATTGCCTCTGCATACCAAATGGTTCCTTGAGGTCGGAGATACTTTCTGAATTGCATGGTGAAGGACTAGGAGGTCACTTTTGCAGAGACTTACTTTAAAATTGGTGTAGGACAAGTACTTTTGGCCGCGAAGGAGAGATTTTGGGATGTATGTATACAGATATCATATATGCCAGCTCACAAAAGGAAGGACTCAAAGCACCAGGTTGTACATTCCATTACGGTACCATGATAGCCGGTGTAAGATATATGGATTTTGTGATGGGATTGCTGCAAACACTATCTTCGTAGTAGTTTATTGTTCGCATTTCATAGCTTGCTGAAACACTTTGGATGCCACGTAGACAGCCAATTTGTATTTCAGAGATGTTTGGCTTCACGATGTTCCCAAAACTATCACTTCAGATCGAGATACATGCATTATGAGCCACTTTTGGAGGACCTTGTGGCAAAAGATGGGGAAGAAGTTGTAGTTCAGCAGAGCATACCATCTTCAAACAGATGGTTAGATAGAGAAAGTTAACAGGAGTTCGGGTATTCTTTTGTTCTATTTGACAAAAGGATGACCGCAGTAATGGGATTTATTCCTGCTGATAATGCCGGAAATAAAACCTTTCGAAGTAGTTTATGGCAAGAACCCCAAGTAAGTACTGGATCTAGGGAAAATTTGCCTAATATGGAACAAGTTAGCAATGATGCAGAGGCTTGGGTGAAACACATTCGAGATATCCAGCCAACACTGGTAGAAAAGCTTAAGAGGAACACAACGCGTTACAAAGAGGGTGTTGATTGACACAAGCGCTGAAAAATGAGGGTGATTTGGTTATGGTCTACCCGTGGAAGGTGAGATTTCTCGGCTACCTTGTTGAGTTCTGAAGAGATCGGGAGATAGAGTGGAGCATCTAGCAAGTTATGATATTTTGCCACTATTCAACATTGTTGATCTCATGGTGAGAACGACAAAGATCGATTGGTGAGCCGCAGGAGCAACTGCCAGAGTTCGAGGCCAAGGTGATTGATTTTGTGCTTGATACCAGGACAATTACCACAAAGCATGGATCATATAACTAATATCTTGTACACTAGAAAGATAAATGTAACGCAGAAGATTTGTGGATCTCGAATATGGAGTTCAAATGGGTAGATCCTAACAGGTGGAAGCAATATATTGATTAGAACTCGAGGGCGGATTCTTCTTCAAATAAGGGGGGTTCAGGCAATGTTGTTGATGGCATACTGAAATCATCTCTAATACTTAATGGGATAATCTATAATTTACAACCCTTCAAATTACAAAGGTTAATGTTCGAGTGAGTTGAGAAAGGTGGATTCACTAACTATGTGATTTCTTTTTTTAAACAAAATTACTTTTGTGATATCTTACTCATCAAGTAAGGACTTTATGTAAATATCACCAAAAGAAAAAGGGTATTTTTGTTTTTTTATAAGAGGTAAAGTTGAAATTTTTACCAAATGACAAGGGTACTCTACAAATATAGTTCCAAGGCACTAACTTCCCAAATACACAAATACCATTGTACTTTGTGAAAATTTCAAATTTGGCATTACTTAATGATTAAGTTACCTATTAAAGTAATTTTGAACAAAAATTATTTATTTTTTGATAAATACACCCATCACAACTCATTGTAACATTACCTTTTGTATTTTGAGGGGTTGTTAACTCTAGACAAACCCATAATTACTGTTCTATTTATAGAGGTATAACTGTTCAGAAGTACTGCTCACAAGGGTGTTTCTGAAATTTAAAATATTATTTAGGTGCGAAGTTTTGAGAATAATTTGGAATTTATTAATCCTTGAAGAGTGACTTTTCTCCATTGAAACCTCTTGAGCTTCACTTTTAGTGAGTCTGTTAAATTTCCAGCCATATTTTCTCTTTAATCCTGTCCATCAACACTCTAGTTGCATCAAAAATCGCCCAAGGAAGGTAGAGTAAAACTTTCATAATGTTTTTTTGGATTGGTGAAATCTTTCCAAGTGATTCATTAAAAAATTAATCGTAAAGAATTTTAGTGATTAATCTGGCACCATGAAAAATAACACAAACTAAATTTAAGACTGATCCCATTCAATTACACAACTGGAAGTAAACTAAAACATATACGTACCAATCCTTCGGTCATTAAGAGCAGGCAAACTGTAGTACTTTCCATATTCACCACCCCCAGGCTTCGGAAGACCAGTCAAGATGCCCTTAAAAGCATTCTCAGATGCTGAAGCAGAAAAAAAATCAAATAAATGCATTGAGTTATAGCATGTGGTGCTATAAAGTTTGGTTAAAAAAAACAGTAGCTAATAAAACCACAAAAATTTAGTGAAACAGAAACATAAAATCACCGCCATTGACAGAACAAATAACAGCTAAATGAATAAAACTATTTGCAGCAAGAATCTCCAACCGAAAGGAAACGGGCACACATTAAGAAGCTACAAACTGACAAGATCCACAAGCATGGACATGGCAGTCACTCTTCTAAGCAAACCACTGCAATCAAATAATAAAACCAAAAAAAATGACATGAGAAAGAAAATGCAGGGACACACAAAGCAAAAAAATACACAGAATGCAAAATTGCCACAAGGAATTTTTGATTCAACTCAATCAACGGAAATCAAGCAACAAGGTATTTCAAGGATATTTAAGAACTGAACATGAACTGAACCATCTAAACAAGGGGAAATTTCGTTTAGAATGAAACAAATATAAAGAACCGCAACATATACAATTGCACATCCAGTGCCAGTCCCAAGCAGGCCATAAGACAGGGCATGACGGAAAATAATAGAATCACCACAGTGAGAAAAAATTTAATAACGAGAATTATTCTGAGGTGCTAATTAAACAATGAGAAAGTTGAACAACAATGTAAATTGAACAGCAATATGCATGCTCGGAGTCAAACAAAAACATCAAAAGATTAGAAAAATGCAAGCACGAGAACATACTAAAACTTCCCAAGCAAAGAGCATATAGAACTAAAATAAAAAGGCAATTTGGCAGACTTACAAATATAAAACGCAGAAGCAAAAAGCCAAACATAATCAGATCTGGAATAAAAACGTGTACCAGCAAACACATTCTTCAACTGGGACTAAGTGCCACCACCACAAACAAGTAAAACAAACTAAAAGTAAAACACCATATCAGAACTAAATAACGAATTCAAATTTTAAATAGGTAGGGACACCCAAAGGCTTTCAAAACCTGAGACTCTCCAACATATTCTGACACACAAATTCACTCAAACAAAAATCAAGAAGTGCAAAATAGCTAGGTCAAAAGAAGAAAAAAAAGAGACTTACGGAATATATACCGTGCATACATTACGAATAAACTCAAGTTCATTTTCTACACTACAGCGCTATCCACACTAAAATTATAAAAATAAAATAAAAAGAAAGAATTATCAAGGGAGGGCTCAATCCGTCAGTTTCAAACTCAGATGCCACTTCTGGAATAATCTTGCCAGCTAATTAGAGATAGAACAAACAATCTCATTTATCGTGAAAGAAAAACATCAGGGGACAGAACCTACAGATTGAATTGGAATCAAAACCACTTCCTTTCCTGCCAAATGCAACAAAGTTAAACTCAAAAGAAGGAACTAAAGTTTTGATGATTATAAGAGCTTATCAGCTCACAAACAGGGAAACGCAATCATCATGATACATAATCCACACCCCGTATTACAATTCAATCATTTCCATTTCTAAATTCTAATGAATGAGACAAGGTGAAAAGCTACACAGTAAATAGCTAGAAACATTTCCTATCCTCCAACAAACAAGGGCTTGTACCCATGGAGGAGAACTTCCTCTGAAACCGTTCGATCACAGCAGCTGAGCTCCTGATCTGAGCTCGCAAGCTAACAGGCGAGCGCCAATCGTAAAAGGCCTTAGAAAACCACTGAGAAGAAGTCCTCAATGGGTTCGAGAAGCCATTAACGGTCGCAGAGAAGCTTAGGGTTTGAGAATGGAGGAAAGGAGAGAGGGAGGGAGAAGAGGGAGTGGGCGATGATCTTCTAGCAAGAAAGGAGAGGGAGGAAGCCCTAGATGCTCTGAGGAGGCCGGTAGAACCGCTTATATACATGATCAGCAGGAAGAAACCCAAGGAAATTTGATCGCGTCTGCAACTGAAACGGCAGAGCAATGGGTGAGTGATGAATATTTGTTTGCGAGTTAAATGGGAAATTGTTTAGTTGCCGGAGAGAGAAAGAGGTTGTCTAGTGGACTAACGATGCTTAGGGTCCCGTGCCCCTTTTGTCAGGGTGATGATCCCTAGGACCACAAATTTGACTCGGTCGTTTTTATTTATGGTATTATACTTTGGAATTGTTTGGAGAGAAACTATTTTCGTGGGACCAATGATTTCCATTCATTGGATGTTAAATACGATGGCTTGGGATGAGTCAAGTCTGAGAATATATTTTTTTAACTTTTTATCTCATGATTACTTATTTTGAAATTTAAAAGACACGAATTATCGTGATTTTTATGTACTAAAAATAAATAATCTCCCTATAAATAACCTATTATACCTTTATAATAAACAGCTACTGACATTTATTTACCTATAAAAAAAAGCATGCTGACATCCATATTTGTTATATCTTGAGGTTGTTTGGGTGTCTAGAAATACATTATGTGGCGCAATATGTTATCTTGGAAAATTGATATTTATTGTTTGAGTAGTATTTAGATGTAATTTGAGAGATACATTTCAAATTTAGTTGGAAAAAGATTTTGAAGATGATGATGATGTGAGATACATTTCCAGTATTTGGTAGGGGTGGCAATAGGCCTAGACCCGGTAAGGGTCCGGGTATAAGTCCAACTGATTTGGTCGAGGATTAAATCTTGGAAACAAACACTATTCGGGTCTAGTTCTGGGCCCATGATATAATATTTAAATAATAATGTATATATTTAACATAATATTAGATTATATTTAAATATTCTTTTTCTTTTCTTTTTTTATTGGGTCTGATAGGATCCGAGTCCAGGTCTGGGTCTAATAACTTCGAGTCCGGTCAGGTTTGGGTCTCATAACTTTTTTAAGGTATGAGTCTGGGTCAGACAGATCCGATCCAACCTTTTTGCCACCCCTAGTGTTTCGCACATCTAGAATAAACATTTTAAAGAAGTTCTTAGATTCCTACATTAATTACCATCATACTTGCAAGGTTGAATCTCATGTACTTTATTAAATCATTATGATGTGACTTTTAAATTTTCTTTTGGTTATATTTTACCTTTCTTTAGATTGAAATATATAAAGAGATAAGAGATTAGAAATATTTATATTTTTTATTTTATGCCTTCTACATGTAATTATTTATACTCAAAATTGTGGGTAGGGGACTACACCCCTGCTTTCATTCTGGGTGCAAACAATCGATAAGTTGGTAGAGTATGAGTCACGTCAAATTACATTCCGAAGGAGAACCTAAGACCTTATCTCTTTAAGATTGCCAACAAAACTTGCTTCCCTTTCATCTCAACTTTGGAACTTGACCAAGAAGATTTAGGAAAAAGTTTGAAGATAAGAGGAATATTTTAAGAAAATTGATGTAAAAAGAGAACAAAAGCATAAAACCATAAGTAAGCAACTAAACTAGGAAGCTACAAATAAACATGGGTGAAGAATCTAAGTACTAGATACAAGAATAATAAGAAATTGAAGAGCATGGAGGCAAAAAAATAAGACTAATCTAAATATGCATAACATAGGACAAAGGAGAGAGATAATACCATGGCGATGTGGGCATGATTGCGAAGAAGCAAGATGATGAGGTCCTCGTCGACGAGGCACAGAGATATGAGTATGAGATACGAATAAAGATAATAATATAACATGAAAAAAAAAAAAAAAAGAAGAAGAAGAAGAAGAGAGGAGAGTAGAAGATAGTAAATACTAATAAATAATACGCAATAAAAATAACAAGACTAAATAAAATAAAGAAATGAAAGAAAATAGCATAAGAAATAGAGTTAGGGTGAAAGAGACAGAGAGAAGGAGAGAATGATGCATTAGAAAATGGATAATTGAATAAGTACATAGTATGTACTAACAAAAAGTAATAAAAGGGCGAGAAAGTGATATATAACTAGGAGAAGATGAAGACGACTGACATATTGAACAACAGATAGGGGAAAAAGATAAAATAAATACAAAAGGGGGCAGAACATGAGAGAGGTGAAGTAGACGATGTCGAAGTCATAAGATAACCCGAAAGAAAAGAGATTAAAGCAACATATTCCTAACTAAGGCGGAAAAGCATAATAAGGGAAAACCAACTAACATTCAAGTAGAATGCACAGGAGACGGGAGAGATCCATATCCTCATACTAATAAAGAAGGGGAAGAAGCGCAAACACAATCAGCAAAAGAAATGGGTGGAGCTAGGCATAAAAAAACTATTAGCAAATAGAGAAGATGAAAAATCAAAGGGAAGATATAGAATCTATACTAAGAAATGTGGAAAAACAAGAAGAGACTCCGATACTACAAACCAACAAGAATACATGTTGTAAAAGGAAATTAAATCATAATTTGATGAAAAAGAGAAGCAGGAGAGAGATCTACCCCATCATTATTAATAGTAAAGAGAGAAAGATGAATAAACACAAAGATCCTAATTAGAAATAAATGCTCTCAAGAAAGGAATGAAGATTACTTAATGATGAGAGTGAGAGATAAAAGAGGTTTGTTGAGAAGAGATCTACGTCATTGGAGGAATATGGAGAAGTAATAAATGCCAAAACAAAGAAATAAATACAAATCAACAAAAGGGAAAATGAGAGTAAATATAACTAACTTAGCACAATAAATACTACATTAAATAAGAGAGCATTAAAAGTAGGTAAAAACATGACGAAATAAAGAAAAGCGAGCAAGTCTAACTAAAAAAGATAAAGAGAACTTTATCAAGGAATGAAGAAGAGAAAAAAAATCATAAGTGTGAATGATAAATGAAAATAAATCTTAGGAAACAAATAAATGGAAGAAGAGAGGGGAAAATGACATAAATGCCAGGCCCGACACCCAGAGTCGGCACCAATTCAGATAGTAAATTTACACAATCAACCCGAACTTTCTCGGTTTTTAACGTGGCAAGTAGAAATAGGAAGAAGGAGGCCCAGAAGGTTTGATTATCTGGACCGCCTTGGGTTGAAGTGTAACATGAAGGGGTTTGTATTTGCAGCTTTGGATTGAAGGGTTTGGTAGGATGGGGTTGCTCAAAGGGGGTCTTCTCTCAAACTCTAGCCTAGGTTCAAAATCTAGAGATTTTTAAGCATAGTCTAGGCAAAAAAATATCAAGGTCCCAGACCCTTTTCTTGAGGTGAAGGGGGTTTCTTATTAGCAAAATGAACCCATAACAGCCTGTATCCACTATTGTGTGAAATTTGGTGTCAGCAGAGCATTGACGCCATTTGGAATGATGCTAACGCTGGTTGGACTGACACCAAATCATTATTGCTAGCCATAATGACAGTCAGATGAAATTAATTGCTCATGAATGCTGGTTTGTACGATCTGTCCGAGTTTGGTGCCATTGGCAATGGTGTTGGCAGCATTCCGAGTGCCACCCAGCACTTTTCAGGACACATGGCTGGTCGGACCTGATTTTTCTTCTTGCAGACGGCGGGAAAAATCCTCTCTCAAACAACCACAGAGGGTTCACATGTGTTACACGTGTGCTCTCCTATGTGCAGATAGGAACCAACAAAGAGAGATTTTATGACACGGGCATTTCAACGCTTACATCGTTGTTTTGGGGTTCGGAACACACTCGGGCAGTTTTGCCCTCTTAGAACAATTACGAAGCCCTCCGGCTGTCTGCCAGTGCGGCTTGGATACAAACTCTCCTCAGGCTTTTCAACTAGCTGCTTCGTTCTCTCTGATTAAAAACTATATTATGGACTCGGTTCTACTCCTCTACAGTGGCTCGCTCAAATGAGGGTTGGCTAACAAAAGGAGGGGACGAGGGAGAGAGGTGATGAAGATCCCCTCTCCGTGCGAACATTGTGCGCTCGGGTGATTAGAGTAATCAAAGGTTTAGAACCCTCTTGATTTTTTGACTCAGGAAGACTCCTCCTGAGCGACTGAGGGACAGAGCGTATGCGTCTCCAACAACTCAACCCGACTGTACAGAGAAGAAGTTAGAGCGATGATCTAAGGGTTGGAATCGTTAGGTTGACTCTGAGGGGTATTGGTTCGAGCATGTGTAGGATAGCAGGGGTGCTATATGTTACCGCAGGTTTTTTCTGCGTTTGTGCTAGAGATACGAGGGGAGAGAGACACGACCGTGCATTCTCCGCTGGCACAGGTTACTGTGCGGGGCAAGTAACAAGTAGAAGAGAGAGAAGAAATAAAGAATATGAAGAGAGGATTAGAACCGCGTGACTAGCAAAGGTTAGGGGTAGTTTCTCTCTCTGAAAAGTTCTTTCTCTCTTCGGTGCTAGATCCAAGGGTTAGGAGCAAGAGACAAGTGGAAACAAGCTTATCGCCTCTATTTCATTATTGAATGATTCGGCCCTTTTACAATTGCCCTAGGTTTATATTTATAGAGGATCCACAAAATAAGGGTGGATACTCAAAACTAAACCTAATTACAATTAAAATAAATTATAATAAAATCTTGAATTTAAGAATAAAGACAAAAATGCCCGTTAAACCTTTATGCAAATGGCGAAACCATCCCTCTTTGAGGGGCCTTTCAACATTACCAGATCTTGGAAGCTTTTTCGAATAGTTGTGATAATGTTTGCAACGATCAATCATCGTAGTCTTGATACTTGTTTGTGTCACGACCCCGCCCCCAAACGCTTTACCGTACACGACAGATGGTGCCCGAGCGCGGGTCCGTGACCCAGAGGTAGTGTTTGCCACTCAGGTCGAAGCGAACTCAACGCCTTTATCTCGGTAATCAAAGAAAACCATGGGAAAAACTAAATTGATAACTTCAAGTACATGTGAATACTTAAACACTTAGGGAACCCATTCATCCAAAAAGGCACTTCATAACATTTCTTCCAAAAATGACAATTGGGTTTGGGGCACCAGGGCCCAATAATACATATTTTTCAAAAATATATAAAATTCAAGGCTAACCGCCCAACCACATACAAGATCTAGACTTCTCCTTCAGAGTAACTAGCTTCGACCCCCAACTGCAAGCCCATGCTTCTGACTCTAGATCTGTCGCTATTAGTCTACAAGGAGGGAA